GTGTACTTTGAGAACTTAAAACAAATAAATGTGGGCTGACGCTTACATAATATCAATATTTCTACAGTATAACTCAGAAATGATACAAAAATGTAAAATTCAGTGATGGCTAATTATCTAAGATGTTTATTTACAAACGAAGGGGAATCACAAAAAGTAATAAGATTGTAGACTATTGGACAACGTTCACGCCTATCAAGTAGGGGTTTATAAACATGCATCTACTGATGTGGATAGCCAACCACGGTAATCACTGCTGGTCACTATAGGTGAGTGTTTTGAACACTTCTCTCAATGCGATTGGCAAGATTTATTTAATGAATATCAGCTAATAAATCTTAGCAATGTGTCTCCTAATTTATGATGACTGCACTAATTTAATAACACTTACAAAATCTACTCCGTAGAATGTTTGAGGTTAGTCGATTAGCTGACATCAATAAGCTTGGCGATTAGAGGGACTGCGGCCACTTTATGTCCGCTGTAGCGTCATTTAATACATTAAAAGGAAAGTGGAAAAGAATCTCTTTTGTCCTCCCCCCCCCCCTCAAGTGAAATAATGACTCAGACAAGTCTAAAAAGAGGTCTCTTACTGGCTAAAAAGTCCCATATAGTCCATGAGTCAAAAATGTATGCCAGGCCCTAAGTTCCTGGTGGGGAAGGAAGTTTAGCCGTTTGCTGGAATTTAGAACGCCTCATTGGACAACGGCTCAGATATCCATGCCAATTAAAGGAAAGGAAGTAAACGTTCTCGTCATAACATACAAAGTAGCCACAATTAACAAAATTGAGTAAAATGCATGTGATGAAACTATTTTTTTCAAAATTATATCCATCAAGTACCCACAATCAAAGTCCATTTTACTAATTAGGTGAAATTGTAAGAATAGTTAATAAAAATAATAAACTGGTAGCCAAATAAACGTGCTCCACGTAATAATTCTGTTTCCTCTATGCCGTTGAGACGATTACATGGTTATGGAATTAACTATGCAAAAAGATAAAGCCATGGAAAGAGAAGCAACTAACTTGAAGTCTAAATGGGACTCCTTTCTCTCCACCATGTTTCTTAGCAGTGAACTCCGTACTGACGCAGTGGGCTTTGAGTGAAATTCGGCACGGAGAAGACGAATGCCATACGCAGATGATCGCATTCAAATTACCAGGGTCGGCGTAGACACTGCGGCAGTTAAAGCAACCATCACGATCTAAAGAAAAAATAGGATAAAATAGACTGAAGTAATATTACCGATATCCAACATCCTTTCACCGGGATGGTGGTCTCTCCAGAATGCAAGATGTTTAGCCTCGTTTACTTGAATCCGTACTTGATAAAAGCATATTCGAACCACACTCTATGAAAAAGCGATCAGAAAATAAATAGAAATTACTTTAATGAAGGTTGATTTTTCCCCATACGAATCCCTTATTTCGATTGTATATGGTTGAGTCTGATTTAGGTAAGTAAGCGAGTCCTCGGACAAAAGCGTTGCTGGCGACGTGGGAGCTTTGAGCTCGATTATTAAACTAAGCCAAGAAATAATAAAAGCTCCAGTTGATTAGCTTACGGAGTTGTGTAAGGGTAATAAACGTTTTTAGACTTTCGTTTGCTTGCTTGGGTGTCGACTTCAGTCTCCGCTAATTGAAGATCCGATGGTAACGCATGAAGAGCATCGCTTTAAAAAGAAAAGCAATATTGACAATTGATTAAAATTTAAAGGTGCGTACTCTAAATGCATTAAAAATCTATTTAACAAACATAGTTGAAGTTAAAATATTTCGGACTATAACTCAACAACAATAACATATCACTATTAAATACCTCATATTAAACATTGTATCTGACATATCAGAATTCATAGATAATAATGTAGAATCTACTTCAACGGTGGGTTCCTCTAAGATAAAGTTGTAACCCGAATCAGAACCCATCGCCAGTGGATTGTTGGGCTTGCATTGTCTGTAAGGTAAAATTAGTAGAATAGCCCAGTTTTTACAGGTGTAATTGACAGAGTAAAGTATTTATTAAAAGGTAAACCATACCCATTTACAATTTTCTGTACTCTTGCCATCAAATTCTAAACTAACTTCCAAGGCAAATATATATATATATATATATATATATATATGCATGCCTGAAAGAAATAATACTTGAATACATTTGATCAACAAGTTATGAAATAACAAAAAATTTTAATTTTTAATTAATTGATATAGGAATTGAAAATATTTTAAATTTATTTGACTCGTTATTTCTCAAAACCATGATGCTGTCGATATTACAAAATCAATTTTTAAAATTTTAATAAAGTCTACTTCTGTATTTTAGACTATTCTCTTTATTTTTTTAATGGAAGCAGGAGAAAATAAAGGTAAAACTTTGGCAATAAATTAGGATATGCATATACACTAACATATAAATTGCCATTTCGGTGACTCGTCTTATTGCGCCATTTCTCATCACCTCTTTAGTTTGTCATCAGCATTATACGACTTAAATACCTGTAATCTCAATAGACTCGATTCTCTATCTTAGCCATTCAGATCATTATTTCGGTTAAGAACAAAATGTTGGTTTTAGAATAGTTTCGCAACAATTCTTGGCTACATTTATCCACCATCATTCATTCGGTTGTACAATCGATAATATTGAAATTATGAATTTCGTTGCAACAACTAGATTCCAATAATTTATTCTAGCACACCATATGGCATTTTTCTCTCAGTCAGCTTTATTAAGTACTAAGGTTGAGTTTACAACCAATCTATGAGAATTTTCACAAGGTTCAGAGATTATCTATTTGGCTAACATTGACTGATATAATATTATATATAGATTATTAATCAAATGTAAATTCTTCTTTTTCCCACAAAATATTATAAAATCGAATTTATTTTCTTTGGACATTAATGGATATTAGTCATAATTGTGTTAGTTATTTTTTGCCATTTCTGCTAAATTAATCTATCCACAGTTGTATTTGATAAAGCGATTTTTGATGTCTTAGCCCCTCAAAATTAATTTTTTTCAAATAATTTTAAGTATATCAAAATTAAATCACATTGTGATATTTTCCATAATCTGTTTCAAAATGCACAAATTCTTTGATCGGCGCACTTTGATAGTTATATTATGTAATGACAACAGTTGCTACATAATTTAGTTCTGGTTCTGTATAGTTTTTTTTGTTATTGAGCGGTAATTTAATCAATTCAGAAAGGAGAATCTCTGGAGTAATCAATTGTGTACTACTTAAAATTGGAGAGAGTCAAAGAGAACGACATTTTGCAGTGATAAGTTCTTTTTATACCAAATCTGCGTATGGAAATTTTTCCATAGCAAGGGTATAGAGAAATATCAAACACTGCTAACATGCACTAAATTTATCATTACTCTAAAATTTTTTTCAAATAGTGAAATTATCAATTAAATTATACTAACTGAATACTACTATTCATCAAGTATCAGGGTGCCCTAGATAATCTATTCGTAATTAAACATCTATTTGCTCCTTCAACTAATCTTATGTATTTACTTGTCGTTAAGTAAGTGACTAAAGTAAACAAAGTATTATAGCTAAACATATTATCCAATCTAAAATGAGCACACCAATGTGCCAAATGTTTTGTTTTAATTTAATCGATGCAACCAGAGGCTTCGCTACATTTGGTTTCATTGAAAGCAATGAATTGATTGTTAAATTAAAACAATGAGAATTATTATATCACATAAGTGTTAAGAGGTAATATCTAAAATAGCAAAGTGTGATATTTACTATTTCTTCAGACATCACATTAATAGCATATTTCAGTCACGAGTTCCAGGCTCCATAATTGTTGGTGTAATAATTTAGATACCTTATTTCATCAATATATTTTATTAGATGTCATATAACTGGTGATAATTATTTTAGTTCACACTGAAGCACTCATTTCTAAGCATAGCCTATTATTATCATGTCGCAGACATGGCGACAGCACATTTAACAAGGATTATCAAAATGCCATAAAATTAGACAATGGATTTTATTGTATATAACTTCTAAATGAGGAAATTCATTCAGCTGGCTTACCAGAACTTTGTAGGTCTTTTTTTAGCATTAGGTGATAATTATGTTAACTTAAGGGGAGTGCGATAGACTTTACCTCCACGTGATGCACTTTGAGCAACGAATGCCTTCAAGGCAAAAAGTCAACAAACCTGGCGGTTGACTTCTTACTTCAAGGTACCATGAACCCACTGTATGTCATATTCTTCCGGTTCCACAGTCTTCATCCTACCTTACCTTTTATCTACCTTTGTAACTGCGTTTCTTACATCGGTGAATAGCTCTTCTGTTCCTCCTCTCGAATTTTTCTCACTTTGGCATTGTTCTCCTCCGTAAAACCCGAAGTCAGCTAAATTACTAGTGATAACAATCAAAATCGCCTGCCATTTGTAATAAATAAATAGATGTTGAGCTAATGAATGAATTATTGCATCAAAGGAATAATCTGCAAACTCTCTGACCTCAAAATGTAATCATAGAGAAAAAGTTATAGCAATTTAAAGACGAATTACCTTCCTTTAATTATAATTTGTTACTGTTCCACATATAATATTGGGGTTCGAAGTTGTTCCAGGAAGAACGGCTTATAGGGTGCACCAATCAAATGGAAGGGAAGTTATGCAACTCGAATTTGGCACGAGTTCTCTTTTCTTTAGGTAGAGGTACAGTATACGGGCATAAGCTCCAAGTATGTTGCAAACAGACTCGTGACCTTTGCTTGACCAAAATCTAGCATTTACACCAGCAAGCAGGGAAACTAATTAACAAAACGTGGAAGGAAGATGGTCATATGGTAATCTGCATGGGATGTTAGATTGTGTCACATGCATTGTACTTATTATGCTTCGTGCTTCTTAAATCCATCTTAGGCGCGTCTAGGAGTCTTCACACACACACACACACACACACACACATATATATATATATACATATGTATATATATATATGTATATATATGCTTACATGCTTATTATCAAGTGTTTGATTCATAAAACGGAACTACTCATTGTGGAATAATGGTTTAATTGTCACACTCGCACAGCCTTTGATCCTTTGTATTCCATTAGATATGTTAATTCATGCCACTTTTCAACGGTTGCGATATTTGTTGCCAAGCTCGTATCATCTCATAGTCCACTATGTCCCCATTTTCATTCGTAAACTACACTGAGAGCAGCCTTAAACTTGGGTAAATACCTAGCCAGCTGAGACTACATTCTTATTTTTTCTCCTATTTTACTGCTAATTAATATAGATTTATTTACTACAAATGGCAGGCTCTTTGATGGTTATCATTAGCCCTCTGGCTGACATCGATTTCACAGAGGAGAGGAACATCTAAGTGAGAAAAAGTCGAGAGGGGAATAGTGGAGGGATTTATGGATGGGAAATTAACAGACAGTCACAAAGGAAGAGAAAAGGTAAGATGAGTATTGTAGAAGTGGTCAAATATGACATACAATGGGGGTCATGGTTTTTTAAAGTCAGAAGTCAACTGCCAGTCAATAGACTTTTTCCCGTATGTGTATTCGTAACCCCGGATGCACCACGCGGACGTAAGTTTATCGCATGTCCCTAAATAATATATATTGTGTGCATACAATGCCTCATTTTGAAGCCCACCATTCATGTATTCTAATATACTTTAAGTATTATAGTTTGAAAATTTGCATTAGTTACTCTCCTCCTTCTACTTTTTGAAAGAAAAAATAGTTGCTTTTACCATCTGAGTATTTTATCAATTGACTATTTGTTATCTATGCTTAATCAATAAATGACTAAATTCCTGCTTAAAGAAATAATATTTATTCAAATTACATCATTGCAAATTTTGGTCAATTTTTCCAGTTTTCTTTGAATCAAGAAATTTTGAGCATAGAGAATAGTTTATTGAAATGCTTTTCGGAATTCTTCCCTTAATTTTGCCTTCAAAAAGTAAATTCAATCCGCGAACATGTTCTTTTTAATGTTATTTCTGTCTTTTTTTCTCAGTACCATTAAACCGATGAAATTATAGAGAGTCAAATTATCTTTTCTTTAGTAAAACAATTAAAAAACCTGGTAACCAAGATACATAAATTGAAGAAAATAATTTATCAAAATAAAAGCAATTTTTTAAAACTATTCTTTTCCTGGATAATGAGAAATAAATCTACAACACATAAGATATAACAAATATTTGTGCGAATACGATAAGACTGGGAGACCTATAAATTTTAAGCTTAGGAGAGAGTAAACAAGCTTAATAATGCATGGAAAATCTAACTTAATCATAGGAAAACCGGGGCAGGATTGAAGAAGAGCTTCAATTTTCCATTCTTTGACACGAAATTTCTACAGAAAAGTTCAATAAAACAATAAAATTAAGCCGCAATAGGTTAAATGATTAATTAGTTGAACTAGACCTGGTTTTAACTTAAACAAGGGCATGCTTCTCAGTCGTAAATGAGATAGCCATGTAAACAACTTGAAATATCACCAAGGTTAATGGATTTGTAGAAGATATTGAAAGATGAATAAATTTAGATTTATTTTAATTTTATTTCTCTAAACTACCCAGTTGATACGATCGTCAATGTTTTGGTTTAAATTGACTGTACGAAAAATATTTATTTATATCAAATGGCAGGCTTTACGATAGTTATCATTAGCCCCTTAGTTGACTTCAGGCTTCACAGAGGAGGAGGAACATCAAAGTGAAAAAAGTCGAAAGAGGAGGGGGAGGGAACAGAAGAGTGTTTCAAAGACGTAAATGAGACAGACACAAAGGTAGATGAAAGATGAGGTTAGTTCTGTGGAAGTAGTCGAATATGACATACAGTGGGGTGATGATAGTTTGAAGACAGAAGCCAACTGCCGGTTAAAAGACTTTTTGCCGTATGA